AATAGAATAATCATTCCAATTTTTGGGAAAACACGAGGGTAATTTTGCTACTTTATGCTGATGAATGAGGGTTTGCACCAAAGAATTTTCAAGGCCAAAAAGTTGATCTCCATTATATTTTTTCATTTTGCTCTGATTTTTCCCATACAGCAATTGGTGTTTCGCCCTCAAATTTTTTTTTCATTTGATTATCTTGATAAATTTCAAGAATACATTTATCTTCCTTGATTTTAGATACATAAATTGCTTGTTTATTACTTTTAAATTTGTACATGAAAGACGATTTGTATCCAGGACCAGCTTTAAGCCAGTTTGCTTGAGAAGAAATTCCTATTCCGTATACAAATATTTTCAGTGAATCAACCAAAATTAAAATAGGAACAAATAAAACATCCTTTAAAAGTTGGTGGATAATGTCTTCATCTTGCCACCCTAATACTAAAGGACCTGAAAATCGTGTCCCATTTTCAAAAATTTGCGCGTATACCGTAGAAATTGCTTTAGAAGGGTCATTTTCTATTTGACTAATATATGTATCACTTTGGCACAAATATCCAGGTACCGCAACATTATTTTTGTTTCCAACAACAATAGTTATATAAAAGTCACGATTATTCAGACAAGTTTTTGTTTTTTGACCAACATGTAGGGGAAAGTAAGTACCATTTTCTTTGTCTGTTGTTATTTTCCACCAATAACGAGAATATGGCCCATAGTGAAATTCTTCAATTATTGAACCAAAATCAACTAGACTAACTGTAATTGAGCGGTGTTTTGGCATGAATATTGGTCACGCGCGTCAGATTCAGAAAAGCTTTGAATATCATAGTGATAATTATCCCCAAATTTTATTATTACGTATATAGTCACATGGTGCCGATCTTATCCAGATCATCAATTAATAAGATAAATTTAATGAATCATATTTCATTATTCTAAGTTTAATAGAGAAGAAAACGTTGTGAAATTTGTATTTGCTAAAGTTTTAAAGATAAAAATGAATTACTTTATCCCTTAAACTGTTTTGCGGGCAAATTTGCCCGCAATTTCTAAATTAGAATAAATGATGCTATAAAAAATTCTTTAATTTTGGCCAGATCGTCACATAATTTTGCAGCCAAATTGATCTACATTCTGGCCATAAATTGTATGAGTTAGATATACAGTTGATCATTAAAATTGGATTAAAAATTAACCCGCAAAAATAGTATCGGAATTTTTATATAATAAAATTTAAACTTTTCCTACCATATTTTTTCTCTATTTGAATATTTATTATAACTTTTTATTTTTATTATAAAAATTTTGCATTATAATAAACAAAATAGAGATAAAAAAAATCAATTATTATGAATATATAATTAAAATGCATAATAAAATTTTCATTAAGGTTCTATATAAAGTCAAAATCCTACTTTTAAATATCAAAAATCATATTAACAAAAGTCGTTTCTCATACCAAATTCTACATATTCTATTAAGCTTTTATATAGCTACAATTAATTATCAATGAAATCGTCGAAGTTAAGTGCAAAGTTTTTTAAAATTTTGTGATTATCTTAAAATACAACTTTTGACCAATGGGTAATTTTCGATTTTCTAAAATATAATTAATAAATGATAATAATTGCTGCACAATATATAATTTAAACTATTTTGGAAAAAAATTTTATTAAAATTGCTTTATTTTTCATAAAATTAGATGAGAGCTGAAATTTGATAAAATTACGGGCAAATTTGCCCGCAATTGCTTACAGTTTAAGGGATAAAGTTAAATCATATTATTTCAATAATCAGTAGACAGAATTTAATTATTTATGATTCAATGAATTCATATTATCAAAATGCATCTAATTGCAGTGTTTTTATGTCTCTAAATTTGATGGATCAGTTGTTATCCTCAACAGTAAAATGCAAATAATTTATTATTCCTTTTAAAAATTTAACATATACAAATTTCAAACCGTTTTCTTCTTTATTGAACTTAGAAAAATGAAATATAATTTATTAGATTTATTTTGTTAAAGTATTATTTTCATATTTCTAGAATTGATGGATCAAAAGTTATTTATATTTTACTATTTTTAGACATTCAGCAATAACTTCTGTTTTATTGAACTTACAGACTTGAAAATACTGCAGTTAGATACGTTTCAATTAGATGAATTCAATGAATCATAAATCGTTAAATTCTGATTACTGAACGTCAAAATAATGTGATTTAATAGTTATTTTTATATATCATATACATATCAAATACTGATATGTATATGATATATACATGATATGTAAACAATATATACAGTATATTTGCATATATCTTACACATATCAGGTATCCAATTTTTTGCATTTTTACTACATATATCAGGTATATATCTGATATATACCATCTAGCACTGCATATAGTATCCCCCTTTTTCCGTACCCCCACTTTATAAGACCCAGGTATAATTCAATTTTTATTAAGGAAGTTTTACATAAGACCTGGGTATTTTAATAGATTTAAATATTAATTATTGTAACATAACAGTCACCGCGCATGTAACATGTAGATCAATTTTATAATAATAAAATTTTGTGTACCCATAATTGAATTACATCATTTAACAATTAATCATCAATTATAATATACAACACCATATCAAATAAAGTAGAATAAAAAAAAAAACTCTTTCCCGAATACATTTTTTACGAAAATTTCTGCGTAATAATTTTTTTAAAAAATAATCCCCTTTATTAAATTTTATTACATAAATATAAAAATGTCTATAGATAAGAGCCGAACACCAAACGAAGAAGCTTTAAACTTCATTTCTAAGTNGCTTTAGACTTCGTTTCTAAGTTTAACGAAATTTATTTTCAAACTTTTACACACAACTTAAGTTCTTTTGTTACAGACGGTTTTCTTAAGGACTTATTTGAAAAAAACCCTTCAGTACCTAAGGATAAAGCCCAGATACTGATAGAGCGGTTTGGCGAAACAGCCAACCCTGCGAACTTCACTTCACAAGCTCAAGCTACGAATATACAACCCACCACCCTTTCGCTAATATTTTCTATAGCGCTATATGCTGCGTCCAGGTCTTGGGATAATTTTTCAGCCCAATTCTATTGCAATTTTGGCGATACGGGTGATGATAATGATGACGATGATGATGGATCTCAGAATACTGATGATTATCTGATGGATGAGTCATCTCCGCTAATGCCTGATGAAGATGATCTTATACGCCAAAGATTTATAAAACCACCAAATCCAGTACCTATCAAGCTTCCATCAATGCCTGATATAGTAATGACCCCTGTTAATCAAACTGTGATACCCGAAAATTCCTGGAAGAAAGATAAACAAAAGGCGCGTGTTACAGATGATAAACAAGTTGCGAACCAATCTACAAAGGCAAAACCTGATGTGAAAACATCAGCCAAAAATTCCCAAAAGGGACAGAAATCATCCGAACCAGAGGCTACACAGATACTGACAGGATACGAAGCTTTCGGAGAGGAGCAAGAGCAAATCCGAGACATTATAGTTTACGATATCCCGTATACCTGGAACCTGCAGAAAATAATAGCAGAGTTAAAATTTTCAACACAAGTATCAGACTCTTAGAGTCAAGATAGCACTATCCTCATTTGCCCTTCCCCAGTTTAATAAATATTGGACGACAGACCTGGGAGGTATACCCGTTAGATGGTTCCCTGCAAGTTGGACTTTACGAGAAAGAAAACAACGTGAAAAGTTCCAAGCCGTTATTACGATGGCTACCTTGTGGATGGACCGTAAACCATGTGAATTTTTGATGAAGTGCGGTGCTAGCTCATTTAAAATCATACAAACAAGTAAAGGAAGGAGGAAACTTGTGGCCTATTTTGAGAATTGGGAGACCACACTAAGGGCCTTAGATACGCCACAGTTTTTCGTACCTGATGGTAAGGAGTTGAAATGGTGTCGACACTCCATTCCTACCTTGAAGAAAGCACAAACCAAACCGAAGGCTAAAAATACACCGAATACGAAAAAGTCAGGTAAGTCTGACAAAAATTTGGAAAGTAAACAGCCTAAGAAGAAGGATAAACCCACGTCCTCAAAGAAAGTCCCGAAAAATAATAACTAGGAGGAAAAACACCCGAAGAATCAGAAGAAGGCAAAGAATACCTCGAAGACTAAGGGTGGTAATAAAGATAACAAGATGGTTTTAGCAGAGATTTTAACTTTATTACAGAAACTAGTTTAGCCTACGCTTTAATTAGCGGTTTTATGAATTTCAGAATTGTATTATTTTTTAGGATAGAATAGGTTTATGTGTATGCACCATAATTTCTTGAAAAGGGGACTTGTCCTTTCCACTTTTTTCCCCCTCCTTTTTTTTCCCAGTGTGTTCGCCTGGACTTTTATCGGACGTAGTAGTAGTGCAGGTTTTTTATTTTCAAGTAGTTCGGGTCGGCTTTCAGCTCCTCTGGTAATCGATGGTAGGATTTAGTTGGGTTGTATTACTTCGGAATCATACTCACGTTTATATCCCCTGCCAGCTTCACATAAAATAAATAAATAAAACCATATCAAATAAAGTAATCATATGCGCGTATCATTGTAATTGGGCCTTTTTAAGGCCACTGATCAGCTGATTTCTGCAGCTGTGATTTGCGACTTGGTTTATCAGCTGATGTAAGTATCAATTTAATACACAAGGAGAAAAAAATTTTTTATGATTAAACCAATCGTTCTAACGTATTTTAACGTATTTTAATGTCTAACCAATCGTTCCGATGCCAAACCAATCGTTCCAACCTTTGACCAAGTGTTTTTGACAAGTAAGAATATTGAAATTGCTAAAAGTTTTCATTGCTATTTTATATAATTTTTTAAATATTTTTTTTCACAAAAAACATGTACACTTTTGTTAATTTCTTTTCTCAAAGTTTCTATCAAAGTAATTAAATAAATTCTATTCCCACTCCACCTCCTTTACCAACTACTTCCTCCACTTTACATGAATGTACGGTTTGTAAGGCTTCATACAGAAGTAAATCTGGTTTAACACGACATAAAACTATTGTACAAAAATACAATACGCGACGTGAAGGGTTGTATACATTACCTCTAGAAGCAATAAACGAGTTCAAAGCACAGCTTGTTCACGTTATTCAAGGTAAACTAAAAGATCATTTTTCTAAGTCAAGTAGACAAACTATTTCTTTACCTTGTCTGGAAAGTTTATTTTTTGGAGTCTTTGAAGGTTATATTCATTATTATAACTATCGGACTGGTAGTTATAAATGTTTTTTCTAAGGTCCAGATGCGTATACACAAGTAGCTAATTTATTTAATAATTCAAATTGGGGATGCAAATTTTTTAATAATAACCAGCAAACTTTTGTTGTGTTATTTGATGCGCAGGCTGAAGCAGATGCTAATCAAGAAAGTCTTTCTGATCAACATAGTAATCGGGTTCCAAAAAATAGGCTAAAAAGATTTAACTTGCCTAAATTAACGGTTGAGTGGAAATATAAGAAAAGTAAAGAAGATGCAAAAAATAATAGAACTTCAGAAGGATATATTAATTTAAAATTTTGTGCACAATAAATCTGATTATCATAGATGTATATAACATCATATTCATTAGAAAAACTAAAATAGAGTTTTAGAATTTATTATATATTGTATTTACTGTACATGAATAAAACAAAAAAAATATTTTTTGTACATACATGAAATTTATTTTTTTAATTTTTTAACATGAATATGTTGTGGTTTGGAGTATTTATCTATAGTACCCTTTTGAGCAAAATACAACGATCTATTTTCATAATGTAAAATCTCAAAAATAGCTGATTTTCTTTCTATACCCTTTCCGCCATCTTTCATTATTTTTCAAAAAAATGCAGAAACTACATCGTAATTTTTTTTTTCAACAGGAGCACATGAAAAAGCACTTAATCCAAACTTCTGATGTTGTTCCATAAATTTGGGTAAATGGTGAACTAAAACATGCATGTAAGGTGTTACATCTTTTGGACGATATAAACCTATCTTGAAAGTAATAGTATTGGGCTCACCTTGGAAGGGAGTAAGAAACAAATCTAACCATTGCTTTGCCTGGTCTGCAAAGTGACTTGGATTAATTTTTTGAGATTTCATATTATTATAAAGTTCATAAAAATTTCTCCATAATTGGTTGATTAAAAATGCACGTTCTTCAGCAAAAACAACTCGAAAATTAAAGTTTTTTAATACTTTTTCCTTATCTTCTCCCATTAAAGATGTATAAGACCAATTTTGCGTTCCCTGTTCCTGCCAAAAATTGAATGAAATTGAAATCCTACGCATTTCGGCAAAAATCTTTGCTCTTGCTAAATCATTAAATCGATTTTGTGTTTTGAGTTCTTGTAGTACTAAATCCCATAACCTATCCCAAATTCGCAACATTATGTGTAACTCGTCTGGAACATAGTGACTTAAAGGAATCATTTGAAGTAAAGGAGATTTAACATGCCCTGGTGATGGCTTTAACTTAATTTGATCCATAGTTTTTTCAATAACACAAACCTTGTGTTTATTTCCAATATTCTCTTTTGTACAAAGGCATCAAGGGCAAAAATGTTTTGAATTGGAAGCATTAAAGCCAAGTACAATTGCCATAAATTTCCAATCACTACTAAAATATGGATTGATTGTCCATATTGTACCATTTGAATCTCTTAATCCATTCAATACCAAATCATTTAATTTGTTAGATATTGGTTCTATCATTCTTTGTATTTATTCATAATTTTCAGTTCCTGGATATAAAATAATTGTATAATGATAATCAAATTTATGCAGGTTCGCAATATCATCTAATATTACACATGTAATAATCACATGTTTAACCTTACGTCCTACGTTCCTCCCATCACCAAATATTCGTAAATTAATAATTGGATTATCAGAATTAATAACACGTCGATTTATAAGATCTGGAAGTATAAAAAGTAAAATATCTGTAATTCTGCGATATCCAGCTTTACCAATATACTTCAAAACTTCCTCTATGATTTCTGGATCATTAATATCCGGATTTTCATTAATTGGAGTAGGAGATAGTTGATTTGATATATTTAAAATTGATATAGGAATTGTATTATTCATTTCCTCATTAATTCTTTTTTTTGTTTTATAGATAGTAGTTTCACATGGTAATTCAGGCTGTAATGCAGCTAGGTTTCGATATGAATCTCGTGCAATAGGCCTCTGATCTATTACTTTAGTAAATGCCTCATTTCATTGATTTTCTTTTTCTTTATTTTGATTTCCAAAACTAGCTTGAAAGTTTTTGTCTTGAACAGTAAAGCAAATTTTTTGAAGTGTTGGACAATCATCAGAATGAAAATATTTAGCTGCTGTATTTGTGAAGTTAACTGCCAATTGTTCATTAAACACATATACTCTTTTATTTTCATAGAGTTGCTCAACTTATTAAAAGGTTTGAGCATATGAGATCTACGTTTTCTTTCACGCTCCCTTTCTAGCTTCTGACTATTAAGGCAAAATACATGTACCCCAGAAAGACGAGCTTGAGTATTGGGTTTCTTTATCTATTTGAAAGTTAACATTAATTTAAATATAAAATGGTATCAATATATTTAATTTAATACAACTTACTTGTAAATAATTATTTGCTGCCTTTGTTGCTGAGTGTATGGATTCTACACTTGCTTGAAAATTTTCTCCAAATGAAATTTTAAAAACTGGTATTTTCTCTATATAAATAATTCCACATTGTATTATATGTTTAGAAGAACCTCTGCTCCAACTTGTTTGTATTAAATAGTTTTCTGGAATCTTAAACTGTGTGTTATTACATGAACGAGCAGAAGTGTAACAAAGTATATCATTTTGAGGATAATATCCTTCTTTAATAATCGTATAAGTATATTGAATACCATTTTGATTAAGTACAATAATGTTAGAGGCAGGATAAGTAGACATTTTAAGCTAGCTAAGTAGAAAAAGTGCGCGTAAATTTATTTATGTTATTATCATTATTATTAAATCATTAAACTATGAAATAGATCAAATTTTAGTGTATTACAAGATATTTCATATTAACCAATCAAAGAGGTGCCAATTTAAATGACTGCACATGTGGTTGTACTACAAAAATGTGGGGTTATCCCTAAAAAAATTAGGGTTAGTGTTAAGATACGCGCATATGTTTAATAGATTATCATGTGCTCTATCAGTTTCTTAAATTAGTTTTTCGTTTTACTAATAATTTTTTTTTTCTTACATATACATGAAGTTTATTTTAAAAAACACACTTTTTTTGAGATCCTTTTAAAGGTAAGAAGAAAAATGTAGTTTTAACAACAGAAATATATGTAATTTTGCGAGAAAAGAAAGTTTTTATAAATTCCAATATTGGTTATTCAAACAGATTTTGCATAAACTTTAAAAAATCAAAATTTTATATTATTTCTTAAGTACGCAAATTTTTTTAAAGTAGTAGTTTTAGCAATTTTGACATAAACATATCACCTTTATATATTAAGTAAAAATTGTTCAGCGATATCAAAACTACTTGCAACTCAATTTTCATTAAATTTCATTTAATAGTTTGTTAAGTTATTTGTATTTTTATAATAATGCTAACTTTAAATTTGTTATTTTTTCTGTTTAGTAATTTCAGAGCGTATTTAGGCACTTTATTCATAAGCAAATCGCCTTTGTTTATTAAGTGAAAATTGTTTAGCGAGGTCGAAACTACTTGAATTTCAATTTATACGAAATGTTAGCCAATATTTATGAAGCTACTGATGTTATTCATAACACAATTAATTTCAACTTTTTGCACACAATCAGTTACTTCAGAACGTAATTTAGACACTTTGGTCATAAGATAATCACCTTCGTGTATTAAGTGATAATTGTTTAATGAGGTCGATTCCATATGTATTTCAATTTTCATAAGTTTTTAATCAGTACTTATGGAAATATTAACGTTCATTTATTATCTATTCATTTAATACATTCAGAGCGTAATTTAGGTACTTTGGTTATAAGAGAATCGCCTTTGTGTATTAAGTGAGAATTGTTCAGTGGGGTCGAAACTAATTGTATATTGAATTTTGTTAATTTTCGTTTGATATTTGTGAAGCTATTGATGTTTTACGTAATGGTATAGATTTTCGAAACTTTATTTTCTTTTATTTGTAATATAAAAAAACATTAATTTCAAATGAAGATCCAACTTGAAAACTCAGTTTGAGTAATGAATTTTTTTTTAATAAATCTGTAGAAATGATCAATAAGTTTATTTTGCTTTTTAAATTAAAGTGTTATATTATATAAATATAATGTTATATTTGACATGTATTTTTCTAAATTTAATTAAATTTATGCCGGAATTATGGATTTGGCCAGAATTAAGAAAATTTTGGCCGGAATTACAATTTAAAAATCATCAATTTTAACCAATTAAAATTAATTTAACCGATTTTAATATATATATATACTATATATTCAATAAGTAAGCTGTGCCACAATTTTTATTATATCAATCATAATAACAAAAATTAGGGTGTTACATGCGCATTGGTTGATAATAGAATAATCAAATTTAAATTGCAAAATATAGAAAATAGATTTATTTACATTATTGAATTATCATGTTTTTTATTTTTTATTAACGGGAGCATGAATTATCACGTTTTTTGTCTTACCAATCTACTTTTAACACGTTTTCTCTCTAAATTTAAATATGATCGTCAATTTAATTCCAGTTTTAAACTATGTTGCGATCTTCATTTTCTTTGTAATAATCGTTTTCACTCTCACTTTCATTACCTTCATCTTCTGATCCACTTTCATCACCTTTATCTTCTAATCCACTTTCATCATCACTTTTACTTTCCAATTCACTTCCACTTTCTGATTCGCTTTCACTACTATTTTCATTTTCTTCAATACCTTTTCCTCTGTTATTTATCTCTTGCACTTTATTAAAATCAAAAATTAGGCTATCTTCTGACCCATCCAAAGAATTTGAAACACCGCAACACTTGAATGAACGCCTAATCATGTTGGTATCCACAGAATCCCAGCTTTCTTTAATCCAATTTACCACTAATGAATAGGAAGGCCTTTTGATTTTGCCAGATGGGGTGTAATCCTTGATGGCATCATTCATCCAATTATTATAAAGATGTCGCACCTATTATTATTTACAAAATTAATTTAATTTATTAAAATAATAATAAAAAATGAATTATCATACCTTAGATTTAAAGGACTTGTTCAACGAAACATCAAGTGGTTGTAAATGGGATGTTAAACCACCTGGAATAATGGCTATATCAGTATGTTTTTTGTGAAATCGATTTTTTACAGCAGACGTTTTATGAGCAGTAAAAGAATCCAGTATTAAAAGAGATCTTGGATTTGCTCCGCTTCTTGTGCGTTGTGTCCAAACATTTTCAATCCACCAAATCATCTCACTTTCATTCATCCAACCTTCTTTATTAGCTCGGATAATCACTCCATCAGGAAACTCCTCACGTGGAACGTTTACAAGTTTGAAAATAATTACTGGTGGTAATTTTATTCCATCCGCTGTGCAGGCCAAAAACACTGTAAAATTAGAGCGCTTATGTCCAGTTGATAAAATTGAAATAGTTTTAGTACCACGTTGTTCAACTGTAGTATTATTTGGTAAGTTAAAAGACATAGGTGTTTCATCCATGTTTGCAATTAAAGATAATGGATATTGATGTTTTCTTCGACGAAATAGAACATAGGACAAAATTCACTTTGCAAACCAACATAATTTTCTGGAAGTTTCTGAGATATTGTTGTTTTTCTTCTATTAACTAAATTATGCCAGCTCATAAAGCCATCAACCCATTTTTGCGAAAGTTTCACATTCTTTATGTCGGGATACTCTTCTTGATACACTTGCTTTTTAGATAAAGAACGTGCCTTTGCTTGAATCATATATCACGTGACAACCTTTAATTGACTCTGAGACTCTCTAAACCATTTCATAAGTTCAACTTCAAGTTGTGGATACTTTGGACGTGCACCTGTAGTGAGTTTTTGAATATAAGGAGCTGCTTTTAAAAGGCGTTCTTTATTACTAATCTATTCCCGAAGTTGTTTAGGCTCAATATTAAATTTATCTGCAGTTGATCGTTTGCTGTGACCTCATTTGTAATACGTAATCACCATTAGTTTCTCCTGTGCTGACCACTGGTGACGTCTTTTTGTTATAACATTAGCACGACGTTTATGAAAATTTCCATGAACCATATTTCTGAAAATATAAATTTTATAAAAATTTCTTAATGTTTTTCAAAGGTGTAAAGAAATTTCATAAAACATGAAATTAATAGAAAGAAAATTATATTTCCAACTTTCCTTAAAATAAGATTCAGTTACTATCATGATCTATGCATCTAAATAAATAAAATGTTTAGTTCTAACAGTTTTTATAACAGTATTTAATAAATATGATTATTTTCCTTGAACATAAAATAGTCATCCCGAAAATGTAAATTGTAAGTAGTATTATTTCATAATCAGATATTTAGCATATTTACGGTATTCCCCCTTTAATGATTATTGAATACA